AGATTTGATGCAGTTCATTAACTTGGCGGAAGAACATAGTTCCCTTCTGCTGCAGCTCCTGACTTTGTTTTCCCTGTTGCCAGGTGAGCTCCAGAGCTATTGAGGGAAGGAGCCAGGGAGTGGAGCAGAGCAGCCCAGCAGGCAAATAGGAGCTGTCTGGTTAAGTACAGCATTGCCTTTATACCCAAAATGAAAATGTCTTAAAGCATGGCTTCCTAAGAACAAGGGACTCAAATTAGCAACTCGCAGCCACCGCCTATAGGCTTCTGGCTGGCTTGCTTGCTCTGGCCCTACTATTCACCTGTTTCAGCTCCCTGCACTAGCAGAAAACAAAACAAGTGAGAAAACATGGTTTGTGGTGGTGGTGCTACCATGTTTACCAAGTCAGATCAGCTCATGGTAGGGTCTGATGAGAAGTGGCCAGAAAGGAATGGTGGCTTTGAGAGCAAGGGAGGAGGGCTGGATGAGCAGCAGCATTTACACACACACACCTTTCCCTGTCTCGTACTAGGGTGCCATGGCAGTCACCTGTGGAACTGTAGCCCCTACACCAGTCCCACATAGGTATACGTTTACTTGTATAGAGACACACCTGTGCATATGTATGAAGATATGCACATATGTAGATACATACACTTTAGTAGTTTGACTGTATGTTTTTCAGTGCCTGAAAAACTCAGTCCCTTCAAATCAGAGCACCACAGCAGGGAGATGATATTTGCCTTAGTCAGACTCTCTGTGGCCACACACAGTGGTGATGGATAAAACAGCTCCAGAGAGAAGCTGTGAGGGAAGGGTGGCCTCCAAGCTGCTACCAGTTGCCCCCAGCCCAGCCCTTCGGGGTGGACACCCCCTGTGGACAGGTGTTTCAAACATGTGTGCTAACCAGGAAAGCTGACACAGGCTTATTTTATGTCCACCTGCTCTAAATCCTACTGGTGATACTTCAGAATCTTGATTACTGGGTACTTCAGTAGCTTAAGAATTGCTTTTTTGAAGTGAGTTTCTGATTCTTGTGCTGATGCCTTGCAGCTCCGTTCCCCAGCAGACATGTCCTCTCCTGCTGTGGGCCATCTCTCTATTCTTCCTGGGAGCCTGCAGCACCCCTGCAAAGTTTGTCAGCTCATCTCTTGATCTTTCAAGCATGTCTGTTCTTGCATGCCGAATCAACAGGGATTCCAGTTAACAATTTAACCTCCTGGAGAATAACAGCTGAGACTGTTATCAGCAGCTTCATCTTTTAGGCTAAGAAGTCAAAAGTCAGACCCTTGCAGACAAATTTTTTTCAGAAGACCATGGTGAGACCAACTGGGTGTCTCTTGATGCAATCATCTCCTTTATTCCAAAATCTGATTTCACCATCTGAGCAGAAGCAGCTGGCCCTCAGCATTTCCAAATAAATACTTGCAGTGTGAAGGGCTCCATCTTCCTGCTCCTGCTGAGGAGGCCCATGGATTCAGCCCAGCCTGCTCATCTTCCCAGCCTTTCAACCCTCCACAAGTTGTCAAGTTGCACTCCAGTGCCTGCAATCAGGGGACTCCCCCACTAGCAGCACCATGACATTGTACCATGCAGACAAGAAGTTAAGACAAATCCAGGAAAAATAGGCCTAGAATGCTATGCAGTGATGAACCGTTCCTTTTTCTTCATGCTATCCTGGTTTTGCTTGTGTTGCTGTGGTGGGTGGACCCTGGCTGGATGCTAGATGCTCACCAAACCACTCTATCACTCCCTCCTCAGCAGGATGGGGAGGATAAAATAAGGTAAAAAAGATCTCAGGGGCTGAGATAAAAGCAGTTTAATAAAGGAAAATCAAAGGCCATGCAGAAGCAAAATAAAACAAAAATACCCCCTTTCCCTCAGCAGGTGATGTCCAGCCACTGCCTGGGAAGCAGGGCCTCAGTATGCATAGTGGCTGGTCCAGAACACCTTAATAAAAAATGCCCCCTCCCCTCCTCCTTTCTGTTCACTTTATGGCTGAGCATGACATCATACGGTAGGTCTTGAGTCAGCTTGGGACAGCTGTCCTGGCTATGCCCCCCTGCTTTCATACTCCCGGCCCACTGGCCTTTGAGGATGAGGGGTTGCAGAGACAGCCCTGATGCTGTTGGAGCACTGCTCAGCAAAAGCCAAACACCTATCACACAGCACAGCCCTGCGAAGGCCACTGCCAGGAAAGCCGTCTCCATGCCCCCTCTGGCCCCAGACCCTCACTGCGGATCCCAGACAGCACATCACAGCTGGCAACAGGTTTAAAAATACAAATTCTCTCCTGAATTAGGATGATATTTGAACACATGCAGACTATGGGTCTGCATCAGGGAGAAGGACCTTGTGGATATGGCCTATCAGTAATTGAAACTACCTTAAATTTTGATTTTCCTTTCTGTTGCATTTAAGGTAACAAATTAATTTTGAATTAATTGTTTTCTAGCGGGTCCTCAGAGATTAGAGGGGCTAGGGGCAGCTGGACTTATCTCTTAAGAGGTATGCCAACTATGGCTGTGACTATAGGCCTGACACCAGATGCACAAACAGCCCATGTGCTGTAGGTCCGGATGCATTCAAGACAAGCAGTTAGGTTCATAAATAGTAGAGTTTATTCTTATGCAACATCTACAGATTCTTTGAGATTGCCTATGATGAATGCACAAACTGCAGGTTGGCTATGTAGCACCACACACAAAAAGAACAATTGCAATCACACACTTAATTCCTGGGTAATCACTCAGAGGGCCCAAACCTTACCAAAAGGCATCCCTTCTGGGGGGGGTAAGGAGCACAAACCCATCGAGCTGTGCCTCTGATCTGGTATCAAATTATTGTCCCTCCGAGTTAGATACAAATTCGGGGTAGTATTTCTCTAAGTATGTATATGTGAGTGGGTGGGACTGTGGTCAAGCCATTGTTTCTTGAGTAACGACCAAGCACATTCCTTGGTGCAAGGTGTGCAATGTTTTTTGTGGGAAAATAAGGTCTGCAGACTACTGCAAAATGGTCCTTGAAAGAAGGGGAAGGGCAGGAGATAAATCTGTATAGTAGTGTCAAATGTTCCTTGAGAAAAGTGGAAGGAAGAACAGGACTGCACATTCCTCCTTGGTGCCATGGCAACACAAATCACTGGATCTTCATCCTGTCTTGTGTTTGTTCTGGGAACCATGTGTTAAGGAAATGTGTGGTTTGCATTTTTTTCACTGTTTTGCTTTTCTCACACTTCTAACACTTTACTTCTTCTACCACCACGTGTACAAGCATATAGAGGCAGAGTTAGACAAGTCACTATTTTTAGGGAATTCCAATGAAAATCACTTAGGCAAATCATATTTCAAGAGACATTGTAATTACTGTAATGAATAATTTATTAACAAACCATATATAGATTGCATAGAGAATTTTACTGCACATTTACTGCACTTCATATTGCACACGACATCTGAAATCACGTCAGAATGCATCCTCCCCTCAGGCACTAGTGGTGTCAGTTTGGTGGTAATGAATGGGGAGGCACACAGGGAATTAAGAGTGACTTCCACCTTTAATGAAGAGGTAGGAATCTAAAGACTACAAGGAAAGTCTGAGATACCTGAAACCCTCTCACAAGCTGTAGAACTTTACAAGATCATTATTTCTACTCTTCCATTTTCCCTTCTGTTCAGTCCCTGTGTTGTGCTGCTTCTTGCTCAGAAGTGCCACCTGACTGAACCTCCCCCTCCACCTGCCACTTTTTGGCTTTCTATAGCCACCATCAGAAATAAATCAATTGCTGCAGCCAGTTGCAGGCCAGGTCTTGCTTTCCCTCATGTATGCACAGTCCCTGAAGCAGTCTGTGAGGTATCAGTATCTCAGCAAGGAGAAGACAGTCCCACAGACCCTGTTTGTGACAGGCAGCCTGCACATCAGCACTGCCATCCTCCACCACTGGAAGACACTATCCTGGTTTCAGATGGGACAGACTGCATTCTCTTCTTAGCTGGTACAGGGCTGTGGTTTGGATTCAGTGTGAAAATAATGTTGGTAACACGCTGATGTTTCAGTGGTTGCCAAGTAGCGCTTATCCTAAATTAGGGATGTTTCAGTTTCCCATGCTCGGCTAGCAAGCAGCTGCACAGAGAGCTGGGAGGGAGCATGGCCAGGACCGCTGACCCAAACTAGCCAGTGTGCTGGAGGATGAGTGTCCTCTTCAGTAGACTGGAGATCACTGCCTGCTCTGACCACACAGTGAACACACAAGGACTGTCACGAGAAGTTGTCCCCGGAATCTTCAGAAAACTTGGAACAACCCATGCTGACCCACGTGCCACTACTTCATAGCCCTGCTATTCAATATGCCTGAAAAAAAACAGCCTCCTCTGGCTGAGAAGGAGTTTCAGATGAAGATGAAAGACAAGGTTCAGGCTTGGAAGGAGACCCAGTAACACAGACTCCGAAAAGCTCTGCATTCTGGAAATGAGACTAGATGCCTCTGCAGCTACACAGGGCACCCTGGCTGGCCCGACACCTGCCACTTATTAGAGTGCACTATTTCTCCACTCCTCCTTTCTCATGAGCTTATGCCAACCACAAATTCACTGGGAGGCTTGTTTGGACTTTTGCAGTAAATACTGGGATGATTTTTCTTTCCCAAGCTGTTTAGCCAGACCAAAAGACTGACAAGCTGTCTCTTGTTTACTTTCTGAAGGCAGTTTGCAGACAGCAAGAATTAATGTGGGAATGGCTGGCTCTGTTTATGCCAGTAACTCATTAGAGAAAATACACCACACACTTGGTTGGCATTATCTTCTCCAGCTACACTGCAACATGAAGTTCTCTCCCTTCGAGAATAAACACTGTGAAAGTTGCCACATGCCAGGAAACATTCGCTGAACCACTGAAACTAGGATTGGACAGGGCTTCAAGATACATACCGTCTTCCCTCCTACCCCAAGACAGGCATAGCTAAAGCCAACAGCTCAAGTTGGCCTCAATGATAGCACACCACGCAGGCCCATGTGAAGTGCGTAAAAGATCTGGACAACTGGCTACACTGAAATACTTTCTAAAAGGAAGACCAACTCCAAGAAAAACAGAACAAGAACTAATAATTACCATGAACTATGAGGATTATCCTAGGAATAGTTCACAAGAGGGAGGTCATTTATACAAATTGTGTTGTCACAAGCATGAGAAGTGAAATGGCAAAATACTAAATCTGAGCCACAGTCGGTTACAGACAACTGTGCAAACTACAAGATTAAATCACTGTCACGGATGAAAGTATTGACACGGTAATGATTTAGGAAAATAATCTAGATTTATTAATAACTAACAACTATTCATCACTACAAAAATAACTCAGAAAGAAAAGCAACTTATTCAGGTTCTAAAATGACAATATTCACTCTAACTTACTTAATGGTACCTTAATTTATACACATATGTACATGCGCATACACAAACCAGACATATCCATACAGGAACAAAGGGGTTTGGATTCGGTAAAATGAACACAAAAGGGACAAGCACACAGGAACACGGGTAAGGGTACGTACCCACACACACACCCCCACCAATAAACAGGTGAAACAGAAGCTAGCTCAAAGAAAATTTCCCTCTCGAGTTTATACTCCCAATGCCTTGGCATTCCTCAACGGGCGATAACTGAGACTCGAGTGGGTAGACTTCACCCTGGCCTTCCGTCTGGAGCAGACGACACCTTAAGGGTTTTGCTACCTGAGAGGCGTCCCAGCTCAGGGGAGATGCTGGTCACAGGCCCGCTGCGATCCAGGAGAGCTCAGTGGGTCTCTCTGGTGGTCGCAGATTATAGGGTCCAAGATAACTGACTTTTGTCAAATACTATCTGGTGCCTTCCGGCAGTTGCACAAGAATTTGAATAACATGCAACCCTGTTATTGTTCCATCTGATCACATCCCAGGCACAGGTGTGTCAGGCCATCAGGAGATGATGGGCCATTATAACCTTTTCCAAGCAATTGGGAGGGGCCGGAGGCCGGCCTCCTCAAGGTTATCAGTCCTTATCTCCACAGATTGGTGTATGGCCTGGGGGAATGTGGATGGAATCACACCTGGCACCAAGCAGCCCAACAAGGAGGGCAGGGAGGGGTAAGAATTGCACCACCACAATGACATGTCCAGAACTTAGGTTTTTACTTTATGAGCTTCTGTATGGACAGCTGAACACCAGTAAGCAATAATATCAACAGCAGACAGCTAAGAACCTAAATGGTTAAACCTTCACCTCTCCAACAAACCTGGAGAGGTGTATTTTCAGGCAAATACAAGCCTGCAGCTTGCTTTCTAAATGGTAAAGCTACAGCCCTCCATTATGCAAAAATGCTTATGAACCTTTAAGTACACACACAGTAAATATTTTAATGACACTGATTTCTTCAGTCTTGAATCTATTAATTCAGCTGACAACAGTGTAGTAATTAGAAAAAAGTTCTTCTCCTTGCTTGATGTCTCTGAGAGTGACAAGCACTATGCACCTTGGGTGGCTGTAAAAAAAGGAAAAGCAAAGCATGTGGAAGTAAAGAATTATATTTCCCTTCGAATTTTTTTTTAATTCTTCATGGCAAGGAACTGAAACAATAGCTCTGTCTAGATTACTTCTAGGAGTAATATGCATAATGCAGGTCAGGGAGCCTGGAAAAACAACTGAAATACAGATAGCAAATTTAAGCAAAACCAACCATAAAAAGCACAGCCTATGTGGGTATGCAAATAATGATTCCACTCACAGAGTTATTCAGAAGTAAAAAGAATTAGTCAAGACACAGATAAAGACACTTAGACAGGAGCAGAAGTTATAGCAAAGTTCATGGAGCAGAAATCATTCCTCTAGAGATGCCTACCCAGAGATGTCAATCAGCTAAACCCACTGAGCCAAACAACATCCAGAACGACAGCTCTGAACTGCACCAGAGACCCCCGCTGCCATCTACGATGATGGGTGAACTCTCCATAAACCCCAAGCTGAAATGAGTGGCTGGCAAACAGGTTTTTTTACAGAGAGATTTAGGAACCCAACACCCTAAACTTTCCAGGAAATGACCATGCCCTAAAGCTGAAGCATCTATTCCAGGAAGGAGAGCGCACAATCTTCTGATGTTGATGAATGTTGAATTGAAGAACTGTGTCAACCCAAACAGTCCCCACTACTAAGAAATTTAGTGTGAGGGCATTTTGAAACACATCAAACAACAACAACGAAAAGGTAAACTGTGCTAAGAACACTTTTACAAGACCGAAAAACATTTAGAAACTAGATTACCTATGTTGTCAGCCCTGTAAATATCAGTATCAAAACAAGCAGCTAGAAACAGATGGGATCTTTTGTCTAGTGGCTATACACTGGGAGAACTGACGACTGGAAGGCCATATTTTGTTGGACAGATTCCAAGCAAGAGCAAAATGCCTCCTTCCTGAAATGGTCTCATAGCTTAGCTCTGCTTACTGCACTTTCACACTTAAAAGTGCAGCATCCAGACTTCCTGAAAGTTCAGTCTTACCACTTCTTTTATTAGCATTTATTTATTTATTTGCAGATTATAAGCGCATCTTTAACCTTGACTCAACAAAGCCTGAATTGAATCAGAAAAGCCAATTTTCCAATATGCATTGTAACTTTCTCCAACCAAAATTCACATATTTATAACAGCTCCAGAATTACATTAGAAGTCTACACAATCTGCTCTGAAATCCTTATACATCCTTCAGCTGAAGACCATTATCTGGTTCCTGAAAGTAGTAACTGGATCAGAAGCACAATTACTTTGGTGTGTTGAATTCAGGACCAACCTTACAACATACTTTCTCACAGTTTCAAAGTTATTCTTTACTATGTCCCAGTACAGAACACTCGTTCCAGACATACTATCCTTATCGACCATAATGCTCCTTGTACATATTCATCTGTCACTTTTCCCACATTTCCAAACAAAAATCTGAGAAAGGTTTCAAACTGTTTTAATTTCTAAAAAAAGAGATGGATTTTCAGGTCATAATAAGGATGTTCTAATCGTGTAGCATAACTAACAGCCACATGCCTTTATACTGCATAGTATTTCACTTGTCTCAATACAAACTAATTTTAGGTTTCATCTTGCAAATTTATCTGCTTATTCCTCACATAAGCAGAAGACATGAAGAACAGGAATAAGGCGGCTAAATCTCAACTGTCTTAGAAGGGCTTTGACGGGTTAAGGGTCATTTGAAATACAAAGAAACGTCAATACTGTGATACAAGAAAAATATAACTAGTGCTTTATGGGATTTGGAAGAATCACACTATAGAATACCCACTGCTTGTAAAACTGTCTTCAGAGCTACGCTGATCTAATTTGTGAAGATGTGGAAAAAGGAACAAATATTCTTGTAAATCACATAAAATTACAGTTAACTCTTCCATACAGACACACGCTTTTGTGTAACACATATCCATACGGAATACTACTATTCTTCAACCATGTTTATCTTTTTTACACATACAGTATGCTTTGTATCACACAAATCTATGAGCTTTTTGATTCGCTGCTAACCTCTCTACGTCATGGCTGTAGACGATGTTTGGAAGATACTGTTTCAGTTCTACTGGAAAATATCCTGGCACATCAAACTCCTGATAACACACGTTGGCTGCTTTTTCTAGAAATAAGGAAAAAAAAAAAAAAAAAAAAGAAAGTCTCTATGATACTGAGATCTTGGATAGGGTTTAGAGATATGTAAAAATACCAAATCTACCACTGCAAAAGTACCAGATCAAGCCTGAAAATTGTGTCTCTGTTGGGAGCTACCACACTCTTCTGAAGTCCAAGTTTGAATTTATACAAGATGTACACAACCAACTACAGGAGCTTTAATTCGCTCTTACTGCATTAAACAGGATGACCTGATTATCAACATTTATATGAATGGGCACAACTTGCATAGCACCAGGGGGAGCCTACATCATTGCTAAATGTTGTTAATATACAACATCTGCTTCTGCAGTTAAAAAAAAAAAAATTGAAAAAATTTTCCTGGTGGCAAAGTATGTCATAAATACAGCCAGGGAGAAAACCACCATCTGTCCAGCAGGAAGAAGGGAATTTTCTTTGCATGGACACTGGTCCTGGAAGAAACAGTTTCATGGGACAGCCCTTTGTCTCCGTGCCAGCCAATACCTGGTTCACTACTCCAGCAACCTTCCTGGATGTCATCTGGAGGCAGGGTATCTTTAGTGTAATGCAGGCTCTGGAAGCCATTTAGAAGCTAGGTATGGTAGCAATTCAACCTTCTCTATTCCAGCACCATTCCCATAAATTATTCCCCCAGACCTTAAGACCAACACACATGGTGTGAGATAGAATAAATAGTTCCCTTCTTCACATCCAACAGCTAGATCATACGAACAGTTTCCTAAATTTTGTGCATAAATGTAAGGAAGTCAAAAAAGGTATTATAGCTCAAACTGAGCAGTGATAGAATCTTACTGTACATGTCACAGTATATGGTTATCTCATGAAGCCTGCTGGAACCATACTGGGGAACATGATCTACAACTCTGTGTGCTGCCTCAGCCCAGTGGTCCTTTGACCATCGCACATTTTGGGATGTGTGCCTTTCATTCTACATACCAGGAGACAGACTGGGGGTCAGTGAGCAAAGCACAAGGATATCTGAAGTGCTGCTGTGATGAAGGATTCTAACATGCAGCTGTCACAAAAGGCCTCTGAAACAATATCCCGTAAGTGCTTGTTTTAAAGAGCACTATTTTTCCCCAAGATCAGCATCTGATTCTCTCTGTCACCTCCAAAATAATTTATATCCACAAAGACAAACTCAAGCCTGGAAAATTTACCTGACAACTTACCACGTGAGCAATTGTTGACATACTGTCCCACTGCCAGTGGGTTTTGCAGGGTAGCTGTGAGCCAGCTCTCATCGCTCATCTGAAATGGGCCAAGTTGGTCTCTCCGGCTGCAAGACCTGAAATGACCAACAGCGTTAACATGAATCACCACTCCTCCACTTAACAGTTATCTGTACTTCCTCTGTAGAAATGGCCACAGCTGCTGGATAAAGTTACAGCTGGCCAACCCACCTGGTAGAAAGGGCAACACTGGGATGGGGGTGTGTGTGTGTGGACCAACACCTTCAATGATACTTTAAAGGGTACAACCTCCCACTGGTGTGTGGTGTCTTTCAGACTCTAGTAGAAGAACCCCCACAAAACCATCATGTACAATTCCAGAAATCAACATCAAACATTACCATTACAGAAGTGTAAACACATCTCATTCACCTCTGAAGATGTGAAGGCTCATTACAGTATAAACTTCAAACTCATCCCCAGAATTAAAATCTGGTATTAGCAGATATTAGTATTCAAATTAGGTATTATTTTAGATTAATTTTGCTTGTTAATATTTTCTTTTCATGTCATATTTAAACACAAATCACTACAAGTTATATTTTAAGGTAAGCTAGAACAGTCCAGGCTAGCTGTTAGGGGAAGTTCAGGCTAGACATTAGGAAAAGGTTCTTCACTGAAAGGGTGGTCAGCCAGTGGAACAGACTCCCCAAGAAGCGGTCACAGCACCAAGTCTGTCAAAAGAGTTCATGGAGCATCTGGACGACACTCTTGGTCATATGGTTTAGTTTTATGTGGTCCTGCAAGGAGCAGGGAGTTGGACTCAATGATCTTTATGGGTCCCTTTCAACATGAGATAATACTGTTATCATTATAAGGGTTACTGCTCCCTTCTTCAGAGCTGCTCATCTGTAGACTGGAGCCTGAGTTACCAGATTCACCCTTTTGGTATTAGCAAGTCCATATAAAAGCTTTTTTTTAAAAATCCATTAAGGAGATTTGAGTAACAGCTCAGAAGCATTTAAAAAATTTTATGCTAACTCCTACTCCTATTAAAACTATTTTCTTTACAGGAAACAGTCTCTGTACATCCAAACACACTGCACTGGTGTTACAGATGAAAACACATGTACGTAACAGATCACATCCAGCAGCTCTTATCCTTGTGTTGTTTGCATTACACACATGTGGATGATATTCAAATATAACTCAATTTAGGGTAAGACAATTTAGGGAACTATTAGTACTGCTGTTTTAAATGAGTTGAGTGACAATCCTCTATTTCTTTTGTCTGCTTACCTGTACACTGATCTTGATAGACCTTTATCATTCCCATCAATAAGAACGCCATCTATGCACCTAAAAATAAAGGGATTGCCAAGGGACTGGAAAAAGATGGGCTCATGCTTTCTGTATACTGTACCTGTTGCAAAACAGATATGATTATTTCAGAAGAAAATGAGTTAACTGTCAGAATGGACTTATGGTATCACCCAGTCCCCTCCACACAGAAACTCAAAGGAGACAAAGGAGTAGCAGAGAACTCCTCTCTCAGTTAATGACGTTAACACTTGTAAGCCTACAAGTAGCTTTTAGACACATCTTGGTGGTATGCAAAAAAAGAGAAGACCTGTGTCCAGGTGAGAGGTAGATAAAAAACATCATGTCGAACTGGCCTGCTTCAAAGAGGAAAGCATCAAGTGATACTTGTTCAGGGAAGTGCAGCTGAAGATAATAAGCTGTTTTGATACTACTGTGTCAGGACTCTTCAAAAAGCACACACATACAGCGAAGAAGCTGAAACACCTCACTTCACCACCCTCATCAGAGATTTTGTTTGGTACAGGAGAGGAAAAATGACAAAATATGAACAAATAATTTCAGCAGACCATTTCCCTGATCTGTGGGCAGGATTTAATCCAAGCACAGGAAAGCAACAGCAGACTGTCTTACGATATTTCATGACATTGCAGTCCTGCACCCCTCACACCCACCACATCTTCAGCAACTCCCTGCAAAAATCCTGCACTGCAATCTCACAAGGAGCTAAAGGCCCTGCCAGCACTGCCAGACCACAGGCAGGAGAGCACTGACCCGCTCTCCCCATGGGGTCCCTTACCAGCCAGCAGTCCTGCAGTTTCCTCCATTTCCCCGAAAAAGGAAGGCATTTCAACAGCTTGCCCTCTTGTTCTGTTAGATTCGCTGCTAGAGGAGACTCTCAATGAGCCTACATTTACATTTAGTAAGTGCCTGAAATCTGAAGCGAGCTGCAGGGTTGCAGGCTCATTCCCTGTGATTGTCATTTGACAATTAGTCAGTTTACGAGTCACTGGTAATGGCCAGACACTCCTGTTCTGGCATGGCAAAACATGCTCTGCTGCCCGGTGCATGGACTGGTCCCAGTCCTGCAATGCTGGCACAAGCCAGAGACCACATGCAGGGGACGAATCTGTTGGCAGGTGAAAACAGAAATTAATTCAATGCATTGCAGCAGAGCTGTCCTAGGTGGCAATACTCAGAAGAATTAGAAATCTTTTTTAAGAAATGTAAGCAAATATAGTTCTAACAAATGAGGACCAGAGAAGGGCTGATTTTCCAAATATGGCTTATTATTTAGTGGAACTCTCTTCCATAAAGGTTTTATTTTCATTCTCCAATTTGTATTTTAGTGCTTTGAAAAAGTTCAGTCTTGTCTGCTGATCTGTGTGGAGTTCTCAGACCCTCCTTTTTCAGATCCTTATGCAAAGCACAAACCCCAAAGAACTGTATTGTTCATCTACTTGAAATCACTCTTTTGCATTTGTGTTTAAAGTGCCTGGAACAACTTTTCTAGCAGCTGAAAAGTTAAACTTTGAGTACTGAAAGGTTTTTTTATAACTACCCCCCTCCAATACTGCTTAGCTTATTTCCAAAAGAACTCTACAGTCAGTTTACACAAATATTTTCATTCACTGTAACCTATGATTTTGTTAAGGAATGACAGAAATAAAACCTGTAAAATAAAAATCAGTGTAGAACTCTGACATTCTATAATTAGATGGTGAGAAATCACATCAAACTTAATCAGAAAAAAAGAACATTCTATTACCAGGATACATAGATACAACTGTCCCTTTTGGTACAAAACCTTTGGTAACAAAGACTCCAGTTCCAGCAGACACCAGGGAACTTTGGTCGCGACTAATAGTGAACCCTAGTGTATTAAACAGAACTTCTTCTGGAGTAAACACTTGTCGACTCTGATGGTTACATGAATTTACTTTTGACTGCTTCTGCTGAACAGTCTGTAGTTCCAGATATTTACTTCTGATTTCTGGAAGTAAGGCAAAAATATGTGCTTGTCTACTGAAGTCATTTATGAACAGAGCTTTAAACAGTTTCAGCAGTGTTTCAAAGACATCTTCATCAGAAATAATTTTGTCTTTGGAGCTTTCGGGAACATATCTGAGGGTCCTGTAAAAAGGAAAAAAAAAATTACATTTTTCCTAAATAAAATACATAAGAGTCATTTTACAGCAGCAACTTATATGCACCGTTGTTTCAAACAGACCTGAACTCTAAAACATATTCTTTCATACCTGTTCTACTGTAAAACCACCACTCATGTCTTTAGAGGAAGGCAAGTAGGTTAAACCCCACAGAGTTCTTAGCGACAAACATACCAAAATTCAAATACATGTGATCATCATAGTTTATAAAAAAAAAAAAAAAATCATTACACTTTAAATAAGGACAACTATTACACTGACTAGGGAGATTTTAATTATGCTACTTGTAACAAAGTCGTATTCATTTAAATTCAAGCACTTTTACCTTTAAAAAGAAGGCAAACACAGGGTACCGAAAGAAACTTATTTATCTAGCTTCAACGTTAAATACCATTTGAAATTATCCGTTAGACTTCCACGCCAGCGAAGGGACACACAGGGCTGAACCACCTTCGCGAAGCAGCCACCTCCCAGTGAAAAGCCCGCGTTAGGTACTGCGGGGCCCGCGGTCGCTCCCGCGAAGGCTGGCAGCGGGGCCTTGGCCACGGCAGCCTCTCGGCCCCAGGGGCGAGCTCTCACCCCGCTCCAGCGGGTGCTCGAAGCCGAAGACCCCTGCGGGAAACCCACCAGGCGGCACGGGCTGCCGCCGCCTGACCCCGCCAGAGGGCAGGAAG